ATTTTCTAGTAAAAAACTTCTCATAAAAATATAAGGAAGATTAAATTTGTGTAAAAATAACAGACAGGACTAAATCAAAATTCCTCCGATATTCGATCTCAGAGACACAAAAAAATGGTTAGCTCAAAATCTTTACCAATGTCTTTTGTCGTTTGCTAGTGTTAACAAAACCTTAACAAAATGAGGCTTTTTACATTAAAAAACTTTGATTAATTAACAAAAGAGGTGTTTCGTATACTAAGAATTGACACAAGTTTATACACAGTAGTACGTATTTCCCCTTTTTAGTTACACATGATAATTTTTACCAGTAGAAAAAAACCTAATGTTGCATTATGAAAAAGTTTCTCTGCCTAATTTACATATTTTTCCTTAAGTATGATTGGCAATATTAGCACAATTGAAGTTGCGTTTGCAAGACTGCATAGAACTGTGCCAAAAATATTGTAACACATATTGTGTTCGAATCAAGTACGTGATTCGTGTCAGCGTATCTATAGTTGTAAGTTTTGAGGGAGTGGGTAACGAAGATGTGTTTAACCCACTCTTTAAATTTGCTAGCCTATAGAAAAAAAAATCTGGCCATGTCTTTCCTATACACAAATTAAGCGATCTTGCTGTGTGATACGAGGTTTTAAAAATATAAGAGTTTTTAGAATAAAAGTAAACAGAAATCTTTTTTTCTTACATCAAAAACCCTACTTATAAAGAGTTACATAATGCATATGTGGATGATGATGTAGATTATACTTGTATCTATATAATGATCAAGGAAGGGGAGTATATTGCCAGTATTCTATCACAATCGAAGGGCACTCCTAACAAATATTAACAAATATTTACTATAGTAAACTATAGTTAACTATAGTTTACTATTATTGACTATAGTAAATACTTTGATACTTTGATTAACTATGAAACTTTGTTTGGAACTTTTTTGAGATTTCAAAGCTGAAACTTTCTTAAATTGATATCAGCAATGTAAAATTTTGGGATGATATGGTGATATGTTAATGAACAAGAAATACGAGGGGTAATCAAAAAGTTGGCGAACTAATTGAATTATTCCATAAAAGAAATAAAATCAGATTTCGATGTTTATTATTTTTTTTAAATGGTCCTCATCGATTTGAATGCACGAATCACGTGATCCAGGTGGTTTAGCTTTCTGTTCACTGAAATTAAAAGATTTTTCAGAGTCTTATATTTCTTTCCATGCAAGTTATTTTTTATAACAAGAATAGCCCATTTGTCACAATTAGGATTGGTGGATTAGTATATCTTTTCCCAGAATGAGCATAGTGACCATCACAACCCGACTCTTTTGTATTGGGCTGCGTCGTTTATCCATTGTGGATAAAGTATGGGCGCCTTCTTTTTAATCATATATGATATGTTTAAAATCTAATGTAAACGATATTTTAGGGATTTAATAATTATATTATTGTTAAGATATTCAACTATTTTTCTAGCTGTAATTTTGCGATCTTTCTTTACATATTGCTCATCTAAGGACACATCTCTTACCAAGCTTGCTTTCACTGGGCACCAGAAAAAACATCATTTTAACCACTTCCCTTCCTCCACTAAAACAATCAATCCAATTAATGATTGAACTTTTGCAATGTCTTTTTGTCTTCATAAATCGTGTACAAATTATATGCCACTGAAAAGGAATTTCTAAGATAAACGTTAAACTTTAAAGCCGTTCGTTGCTCAAGTACGACTGAGTCAACCATTTTTTGTCACGTTATCTACATATTGAATTATTTTTATATTGTGACGTCTAAACGTGAAGCAAATATCTGCTATTTAAAGAACATGTTTATGACTAAATGTGTGCCAAATTTCATTTTGATCTGAACTGTGGTTTTGTAAATAGCTAGACAGTTCACGAACTTTTTTATCACCCCTCGTATTTCCCTAAAATATAAAAAAAAATGTGCACATATAAATTTAAGAACATAAAATATCACAATCATATATCCCAAAAAAAAAATACTTTGATTTACTATAGTAAAATCTTTAATACTGCATTAAACTATTGTTAACTTTTGTAAACTATAGTTTTTTTGTTTTTGTTTTTGTTTTTTGTTTTTTTTTTTTTGTTAGAGACAATCAGAGTTTTTCATATAGCGATCCTGATACAAACAATATATATAGTGTTTCATAGTTAACGTTATTCAGATACATTCGTTTTTTTTCCTACAATAGAGATAATATAATTCTACAGACAATAATTGTAAGTACACAAATTACAGGGGAAACAAGAAATCTATGAGCCAGTGCTCTCTAGTGATACCCCATCCGCACAGACAGACGGACAAGATTTGTACCAAACTGAATATTACTGAAAAGCATGCCGAACCAAAGAGTGTATAAAAATTTCAAGCATCTGCGTTGAGCTGTTGCAAAGAAAACTGCAACGAATGAAATTGTTTCGGACAGACAGACAGACACAAACACTCATCCCGCACACACAACAGAGAGATTCACAGCTAGGGTACAAGGTATATACCCCCATTTCCTTCGAAGCTGGGGTATTAATATTCATGTAATAAATAAGGATAAATGAACCTAAAAGAGGGAAAAAAGATATAACATGATATTAAAAATGAAGCAGTAATTACAGTAAATGATAGCATATCCATATTGGACGCTCCATATGCTGTGCTGTCACCAATTTTTTCCTTGTCTAAAAAAAAATACAATACTTTTTTGTTTCAATGCAATGGTGTATCTAGAAACTGATACATGTAAAAGCTGGGGTGAAGGCAGGTTGAAAGCAGGCACAAATTTCAAGCTAGAAGTATTGTCCTTTAAATAGTTTCCGATAACATCCATTCCATACAGGTATTTCGTCGTAAGAAACATATCATGTCATTTTCAGAACAAAAACTGTGAAAAAAAAAAAACAAAAACAAAAACCAAGAAAAAAACAAAACGGATATATATATATATATATATATATATATATATATATATATATATATATATATATATATATATATATATATATATATATATATATGATTTATGAATTTATGCTCCTCAATAATGTATACTTAAATCAGGAGACTCTAGGCCATCACCGACCCTCCCCAACCTCGGATTAACGCATATAACATCTCATTTCTAAATGTTTAATTATAAAATATAGTAAAAAGGTAGGGGGGGGGTCAGATTTCTATGGGGTCATTTTTCAACGTGTGTGGAGTCGTAGAATTACCGGCCTGGAAGGGTTTTCTACGGTCGAAAAATGACCCTACTTGACTGGGGGTCATTTTTCTACGGAGAAATTTGACCCCCCGGTCAATATTCTACGGGGGTCACTTTTCGTCGTTACACCGGCCGTTGAACCATTGTTTTCAACGTTGTTTTAGGTATTGATTATGACGTCACAATGCCGCTGCATGCGCACTGACCCTCTGGTGAATACGGCTTCAAATCCAGTGAATATGTAGTATTATGAACTGTTTGCGTTTGTATAGATTATATAGGGACTATTTATAGACTATATAATAATGTTCGTTATCTCCATATTTCATTTACAACCCCTTCTTACCAAATTGGATTTTTTATCATACATTTATCTTTTCATTTTGTATGAAACAAAATTCAACGCAATGACAACTACTGGGTAGTGTCTAAAGTTTACTCTTAAAGTAACATGTGTGTCTTCTATACCTTCTGGTGCATAGATTTGTCATGGTCAGCTTAAGCTATACCAACTCAATTAATGGATCATAAAGACAGCCAGGAGGTAGGGATACGTATGTTGAGCACTTTCAAAAAAAATACATTGTTTGGATTATTAAAATATCAGAGAAGCATAATTGTATGTTTTGTTAACAAGGTGCACCTTTTATTAGTGTACTCCTTATTGGAACTTATTTTCTCAAATTTGTATTGTTTGTATTTTGTTACAGATCGATCTCTGTTCGTTACCCTCACTTTTTCATTTGAAGGAATTTTTTAACTCCACTGAGTATCGCCAAACCCCCTAACTCTGTCATACCCTAACCCCGTCACCTTAGGGAAACTCTGCACTGTTTGTGAACGAATGCGATTCTGATGTCATTTTTTGCATGCAGAAAATGTACAAATGCTGAGAAATTATAACAGTCAAGTTCAAGAATGCATCGAAAACAAATAACAATGACACAATCTATTGTTTATATCATATTTTATATGAAATCAGTAAGCACCTTTTCCTTTATACGCTATTCCATCGATACCTCCGACATGTGAGTCAACATGCCTATTTTCACATGTCAGCTATATTTATGAAGGTCTATGTCATAAGTTTAACATGACATACCATAATGAATACGGCGAAAAAATATTTCATTTTTCGTCTATATTTGCCCTGATGCACTACACGTTTAAAAAAAAGTAAGCACGACATTCTTAAATATAAATTACGTTATATTAACGTCATATTTCTGTTATTAATATTTTTTCTTAAATTCAATTACACACAATTTTAAATCTTAAAAAATTTTTTTTTTTATATATGTTGACAAGTTTAAGAAAAAGGGACAAAAACTAAACTGGAAAGAAATCTATTTAATACGTGACCTATTGTAGAGGACCCTGATTACTGAGTTAGGGTTCATGGGACGTAATGTACACGGATGTGATACATGTACTAATTAGTGGTGTTATATAAGACCAATAACTGCACGCTTTTGTTAATAATACCAAAAATAATGCATACATTTAGCATTATCCCAAGCCTGGTTCTTCATTTATTTTTTCAATGATTGATTTTCAAAGAAGATTTTGTACATTTTTTTTTTCATTTCGATTTTATGTTAAAACTGAAAAGTAGATTCGAAAAAAAAACAACAACAAACAAAAACAAACAAACAAAAACATTTCAGTTGTATGTTGTATATCTGTTATTAGAGGGAGAATCCATCGTTAATTGAATATACATGACTGTACAAATACCTTAAATGAGAAAAATAAATATTTTCAGATATTAATTGTTAAACATGAACGGACTCCTTATTTCTATATTTGTCATCTTGGGCGTTTCTCGATCTCAAGGAGTGCTGCAGGGAGATGTCCATCTTGGAGGATTGTTTCAATTATTTAGTGATGGGGAATGTAAAAATGACATAAATGAAATGTCTGTTCGAAACTTTGAGGCTGTGAAATGGACACTCAACAAACTAAATCAGGATAAATATATTCCAGGAATAAAACTTGGTAAGTACTTAATGTTTATTTAATTTGAAACATCTGTATCAGGAGTAAAAAAAAAACCTTTTAGTATCACAGTAAAATATTCCATTAACAACCAGGAATGAAATTGACATAATAGAATAAAACTATTTGATTTCTGTTCTTCATAGGGATCGAAGTGTTTCCAACATGCAATGTTCAGGGTAAAGCTGTGGAACATGCAAGTAAAATAATAAACAGAAGGTTTACGAAACAAACAGATGAAAGTGTGGCACCTATCATAGGTAGACATTATGACTAACATTCAGCCATATAATCAATATTCGTTAAATTCATACCTATATTTATATGAATTTATGAACAATTATCTTTTAAGGCAGCTTTTTTGAGTTTGTTTTATACCTCCGCAGTTTGGAAGGTATATTGAAATTCCTATGTCAGTTTGTCTGTCCGTCTGTCTGAAAACATTTCTTTGTCCAGAGGTGATCTCTGAAACAACTTAATATTTTGTACTTAAACTTTGTGAAAAAAAAAATATAACACTTAAACTTATACACCTGTTACTGGTGATTGAATTGTCAAAATTTAGAAAGTAATTATTACTTTTTTAAGTTTTCATTGTACATAACTTCTTTGACAGGAATAGAAAGAATGAATATGTCTTGTCTGGACATAACTTTGTAACGGAGAAACCTTATAAAGGTACCTTGTGACCATACTTCTGCCCTGTCTCAGAACTAGGTCATTTTAAATAATGTTACGCTCATAGGGTACAAAAGTATTAAATTTTTGAGATAGCCTTAACTGTGAAATGGAAAATAAGTGAAGCTTTTACATGTACTTGAAGCAGAGATTACTTAAGACTCAAGGGTCAGTACTAGTCCTGACCTTATACACAGTTTTTGGACAAAATAAGTTAACAGGTTTTAGAAATTAAAAAAAAAATTCTTGGCATAGCCTAAAGATGATGTGGATAAAAACAATAGAAAATTACAAGACACAAGGAATGCGTGCGTCTTGAGGGTATGTGACAAACCTGCACAATGGTCATTCAGACAAGGTGAAGATTACTTCAAGTTGGTTTGAAATGATTTTAAAGAAAATAACTTCCAAAAATCCTATAGCCTTACGGGTTGATGATGATCATAGGCCTAGGATATGACATTACGCAGATCAAATGTTGTTAAGACAGAAGTCAAGGTCACAAGGTTCAGAGAGGTATCTCAGAAATGTAGAATTCTATAAAACAGAACGTTTACTATTGGAAGAGTATCAGTAGGTGATACTTGGCATGCAAATGATTGTGACCAAGAGGTATGTCATAATTCTATGCCATATGAATGAGGACGTATATATGGCATAACCACTGTCCAGCGATGAGAAATCAAATTTTCCTTTCGCCTTGACATTTTTATGCTTGCACTGATATACCGGTATTACATTTTCACAAAATACAGGTCATAGGAATCTACAGTATAATTTTTAAGCAAGATGGTAGTGTTCTTTTTGAAGCTATTTTAAAGTGAATCTTTTTTCCGCTTGCCCCGCGGTAGTATTAGTCCTCTTTGACAGTTCTAGCTGCATTTAAAGTTTTGATTAGCCTAATCCTTTTTATTGCATTGTAACAAAGCTGCTACAACTGAAACCATACATATGAAGTTGTTTACAAATAAGTTCACATCATTATGACTAATCCTGATTGTTGATGTACTTTTAAAGGGATAATCGGTCCAGAGTACAGCCACGAAGCTGTAGATACATCGTTATATATAAGCTCATTGGAAAAGAATAACGTAGTCCTACAAACACTCTTCTCTGCAACCGCTTCAGCTCTGAGAGATGGGAATAAATATCAAAATATTCTGAGAGTAGTTCCTGATGATACCAAACAAATATCAGTAAGAGTCGATATTTATTATTATTATTTACAAAATTGAATATAAATTTAAAAAAAAAATTATATCATGATTAATGAGAAAGAAATATTGATAATGTATTTAAAAAAATGAATGAAACATATGACAGAAACACTTTTTTTTCATTGCCTTGGATTTCTAGGTCATCATATCTCTATTACAAAAACTTGAATGGAACTACATTGGTGTCATTTACGAAAACAATACATATGGAATAGGTAACTTTGAAGATTTTAGAATACAGACTAAATCAAGACAGATATGCATTGCATACGCATCAGCTGTATCCATGGAAAATGGTCTTGTAAAATCCCAAGAACTACAAACACTTATAGAGTCAGTAATTTTTCATATTGAAAGTAGAATTACAGGAGTAATAGTATTTGCTTCAACCAAAACTGCCAAAGTGTTTCTTAATGTTGCCAACAAACTCAAAGATCAGTACAGTTTTCGACTTGGAATCATCTTTTCTGAGGGCTCCATTAACATAGATAAAGCGACTTTAAACCAGTATCGTGTAGCAAAGGGTTCTTTTTTCACTAGTCCTCCTTGGTTGTCATCTGAAAGTTTTCAATTACATTGGTCGAATGTTATGACTAATAAAACAGCTTTCAATCAAGAGGTCTCCTCCAATCCCTGGTTAGAGAATGTTGTCGAGAAGTTTATTTCTTGTGATATTCGGGACGATAACTGTTTGATGCCAACTTTTTCCAACGTGAATTCTGTTACTGGTGACAATGTGTTTGAAGGTTACGCAATCTTATCTGCTATACTACAAGCCAAAATTCTTAAAGACCTCCACAGAGAAGTATGTGGAGAAGCTGAGGGCTTGTGTCCCAACCTCAACAGCACGTTGTGGAATAATAGCTATAAACTTGTAGAAAGAGGTAGATATACAAACATAAGTTTAAAGGAAGATATTCTGAAGATTTACGACAAGACATTGAAAGTAACGTTCAATGGAAAAACTGATGGTAATATTGAAGGAGATATATATGAATATGAAGTGTATCACTTCCGAAATTGCATTCTTAGAAGTCATGAAATGTGTTTGGAAAGCGTAAGTAGAATATGTGGAATTTTAGGTAGCACCTTTCATCTTTTTATAAAAAATGTTCTTAAATTTCATGAGCTTACAAAGCAGCTAAACATGTTAATAGTATGATTATTTTAAAATTAAATACTACTGGTTAATGTTTTGTGTATAAAAATGATTTTAGACTAAAGGACATTTGATTATTTATAAACATTCTATTACCTTTATTCAAACTGGTATATGAGATACTTTATCTCTTGCCTTTTAGGTTGGAGAATACAGCAATTCAACATTTTATTTAAATACAAACTTATTGAGAGATTATACAAAAAACGATAATGGCTTAGCTTGGCCTGATATCATAAAGGCTCAGTGTGATAATGAGAAGAAATGTGTATCATGCCGGAATAGTAACCTGGCAAATGAAGTTATTTTTAAAGAAGGTGATATTTATGTGGCTGCAGTGGTCCCTGTCTATAACAAAGACATATACGACCCTATGAGGTGTGGTAATATTCGTACATCAAATGGATGGGAGGTTGTAGAAGGAATTCGGTTTGCAATAGATACAGTGAACGGAAAACTTGATAGTTTTTCTAATATGTTTGGAAGAAAGAAAATCGGATACGTCATTTTTAACAGTTGTAATCAGCCTCTGCTAATTCAAGCAAAACTCCTCAACTTTTTCAGAGAAGGTCTATATTTATCAGATGGTTCTCTTATTTCAGACATTACAAATAAAACCCTAGGGTTTGTTGCTGCCTATGGTAGTACCATCAGCATAGCAACAGCTAATGTGCTTCAAGAACTAAATCTTCCTCAAATCAGTTACGCATCCACCGCTGCTGTGTTAAGTGACAAATCTACCTACAAATATTTCTTGCGGACATGCACTCCTGATGATAAACAAGCCCTCGCAATGATAAGCATTGTAGAAACACTTAATTCGTCGTACATTCAAATAATATATAGTGAAGGAACCTATGGCGAAGGTGGAAGGAATGCAATTGTGCTTGCAGCTAAGGATAAGAAGATATGCATTTCAAATGAAATCAAAGTTAAAGAAAATCAATATAAAAAGATTCGTGATGATCTTCACAAAACTCCGTATGCTACTGTTGTCCTCCTCTTTTTAAGAAGTCATGTTGTACAAGATGTTATGGACGAGCTTCATGAAACAATAAATCCTTGGTCATATCTTTTTATAGGTTCCGAGGCATTTGGAACACAAGACATACTTTCTGGTAAACACAAGCTAGAAGGAACTATTACTTTGTCTCTCCAAATGAAACCAGTAACTGGGACATCTAAATTTGAGAAATATCTGCACGATAGACTTGCTGATGTTGATAACGATGTAAACCCTTGGACAAAAGAATACTTTGAACAGAGAAATGCTTGTTTCCTGTCTGGCAGCTTTAACAAACTCTTTGCTTCTCAGTGTACGGATATTAAGGAAGAATTTAACAATAAAGACTACCAACCAGAACTATGGACTGCCTTTGCAATCAATGCGATGTTTTCTCTTCTACAAGGAACAAATAAGTCATTTGGTGAACTATGTGGCAGTCAGTCTTCTAATTTATGTCAAAGGCATCGAGATTCTCCACAAAAGGTTTACGATATGATTAAGAATGAAAAACTCGTGATTGATGACAGCGGAATTCCGTCTAAAGTTTTTGATGAGAACGGTGACGGTAATATAGGATACAAAATATACCAAGTACAGAGAAAATCCTCAGATGCCAGTCAACTGACATTTGTTGAAGTAGGTTTTTCTATTGCTAAAAGCATTTATAATGTACGTTACATAAACATGTGGAGAAGACTTTTATACAAGAAATAAAGTTTTAAAACATTTTTCAATATTGACCCACAAGACATAAAATATGCAGAAAGGATACAGAAATATCGATTATGATTGAATATGCATCTTATTTTAATGCTGATTTAGATAGGCCGGTATACCTTGGATGAGAATGGATATTCAGTATATGAGAAGGTAATAAAAGATCCATTCAAGACGTTGCCATCAAAATGTCCCAATCCCTTAGAGTGTCAAAAATGTAGTGAGCAGGTCAACAACCAACCAATCAGTCCTTCGTTAATGAGGTATTCTATATTTCTTCAAATTTTGAACATTAAGTTAAAATGAATGTAATAAAATTTGTTTAGGATTGTATAATATTCTGTTATATATTAGAGCCATGTATAATTTTCTTATAGTGAGGAGAATTCTATTTTGCCCTTGGTTTTGGGTGTTCTCCTTGGGCTAGCTGTTCTAGCATTGGTAGTAGTAAGCGGAGTGTTGTTTAAAGTTCGTCGAGGTTGTGAACAATCTTCAGGTAAGCTCTTTATAAATCAGAGACGAGGAATTGAAAAAAAGTTGACTGGAGGATTATATAAGGATTATACATAATTGCATCAAACATGTATAATAGTATATATAATTTGGTGAACTTTCCTCTTTTTCTTAGAACGAGGGTCATTCAAAAAAATCGTAGACTTTTGTCGTAAATTTTTATTTAACTTCATATCATAACCAAATTTAGTACCCATATTTTAACAATAGATTCACATAAGTTGAGTCAAAAAATTTAAATATATGTTATATTTACCAAAATTATCAAAACTTAAAGCAGCAAAACTTGGGTCACGGAGCAGGGTCAAAATTGAGTTATTTATTAACCACACACTTTATAATGTCTATAGTCATACCTCTAATAAATGACGCTTAAACGAAATAAAATTCAAATGTTCAAGTTTAGCATTGTTCTTTTACTTCAGATGCTAACATGTAATGTAATATATTGGTTCGTTTAAGAAATATCAATTTATGAAGACAGACTTCATTGAAAACATTTTTAAAAAGAAAAGATAGCGCTGAAGGAGGTCACGGAGCAGCGAGTAGACTGAATATATTGCTTTGCATTCGGGAAACCTCTAAAACAAAATCTGAAAGTGCTATGGGAACCAGGAAATACCTGTATATAAAAAATGAGCCGCGTATTTGTTTTACATGGAAAAGACAGTTTTGAGTGGACCGTGTATGAAATGAAAAGGCAGAGTAATTTTAAGAAACTTTCTTCTTGTTGTTTTTGACGTTACAATGTTGTTAAGTGTGCTCGGTGGTGTCAGAACATATTTATTTTAAAATTGTGTAACACGAGTTTAATGAAATATGGAGATAACGAACAGTATTCAAGTTCATAGTCCATTTAAACAATACAAATCGGAAGCTGAGCAAACATGGACCTCCAAAAACATCAGAGGTGGGATCAGGTGTCATGGAGGAGTAATCATTCCCTGTCGACAGGTCACATGGAATGAAACTTCACACATCGGCAAAAGAAATGTTTTTACATATGAAAATGTGTTGATCTTAAATCTTGTAAAAATAATATGATGATGAGTGACATTGTCTACGTATTTTTTAATGACTCTCGTATTTTTCTTCCCAAGCTTTAAAAAATAATTCTTTCATTAAAGTTAGTACAATATTTATAACATTTGACTTCTTTATGTTACATTCTTGCATATAAAATCAGATGACCCATACCTTGATCCAAGATTTTCGAGTTCTCTGGGGACTGACTCGAGAGATTCTGGCTACTGTGTGAGTCCAAACTTAGTGGAAAATGTTCAAAATGTGGAAAATATGTCAGATCTTCAGACACAGAGACAACAATACTTAAAAAATGCCGCTTACCAAGGAGATTAACACGTTTACAATGGTTAAACATGCGAGATACAGTATCAGATTAAGTTTTATGATTATGTTGAATATCCTACAGTGTTTTCAGCATGAAATGGCTAGCTATGCATCATGCTTGTATCATGGAATCTACATGTATGCAAGATTTCTTTATTTGCTATTTTGCTTATTTATCTTTTTTATTAACGTATGTACGCGTAAAAATGCATATTAGTTATGTTTTAATCAATTCGGAGAGACGCAAAGAGAAGGGTATTTCATATTCAAGTTTTTGGTATTTCTTGCAAAATACATTTTGGAGTGTATGAATATTCCTTTTTTGGACATGTATATTAAAGATTTCTTTTTTCTTTGACATTTTATATATAAATATGAGAATTATTTGAAAGTGTTTTTTTTGTACATGCACATTTTCCTTCGAAATAAAATCACTCACCGACACACAGTCTGGCTTATTGTTCTCATGTTATTCTTGGTATCAAAGCCTTTAGAAGATATTCTCTAAAAGCAGGCTTAGGTCAATTCAAAGAAAGTGTTTTGATTATTTAAGTGTGTTATAATAATCTTAGTCTAATACAGTGTGACCTTTGATCACACTGTAAAGTATTCGAATGACAAGCATTAATAATTCCTAACAAGTCATTAATTATCAAAATATTAACTACTCCACAAAATAAACTCATTTTTATTATTTCAACAAAGTTCATATCATTTAAAGTAACAAAATATGGTACGCATATCGAAGAAATGTGATATATGCTTTCAAACATACAGTGCAAATAATTTAATATCATGAACCTCCCTCCCTCCCTCTCTCTCTCTCTCTTTAAAACACAAATACAAAGTGGACGACCTGTGAAATGGAACTGATATGGAAACACAAGTCCTGCAATATTTGGAATGACAGAATGAAAAATATCACAATATGCTTTGATCCTTCAACACAGTTTTGCAATAAATTCTAAATGCTAGGCATTAGGCATTCTCAGGAAAGGTTTAATTTTTTTTAAAAGTTAAATTATACATTAAATATCAGAGACTGATGAGTTATCTTTTTTTGAATCGTACATCCTCAATCAACTTTCATGTAAAAAATGTTTTCGTTGCTAAATGCTTCCGAATTATCTCGTCAAGTTCTTCATAGTCATTATGTTTCTTCTCCTAAAGTTGCGTATTTTGATGATGTGTTTCACAACGTCATAAAAATTTCTCACATCGTTATCAAACCGCTGAGTCCGATATTAGATTTTGGTACTCCGGAGAATTCTCATTATTTACATCATACATTTCCCTATTATTATTCCTGGCACTTTTTGGTCTTTCTGGTGCACTCACTACTAGATTAACATACGTTCTGTTACCGACTGACAAATGTCTAGTCCTCTCCGGGACCTCCGGGTCACTGTCATACAAATCGTGATTGGAAATTAATGCGGTACGTTCAACAATATCTTGCCCTGATCCTGTCAACTTGATATCACTAAAACGTTTGTCTTCAGAGATAATTCCGTTAGGAATGTATCGCAGTTTTGAGGAGAATGATCGGATATCTTTCGGTGAGCTGAAGTTTTCATGGTGGCTGGTTTTAGGGGAGTCTTCGTTATTGGAATGGCTTTCGTTTTCTCTGAAAAGGTCTACAAGAGGTTGGTTATCCTTCTCTGTTTTGTCACTATTGTTCTCTGATTTACAAAACTGTAGATAGGCTTGTCGGGTAGCTCTTGCCCACGTTGTGTTCATTTTTAAAGTCTGACTACATCTTTGCAGTCTATGTCGCCTAATGCGAACATCTTCGCCGACCAACCAGTAAGTGAACATCTGCCCTTTTCCCTACAAATGTTTACTTTTCCGCTGTACTTAATCATTCATTGCAATTCAAGGTTCATCATTCATTTTTTGATTAACAGTTAAACATACCTTCATTTCGACCAAACCTCGAGGTTCCAAAGTATACCCTCCTAATTTATCTAAGAAAGTCTTGCATGATTCACTGCAGTGGATTTTAAGAGCTGTGCAGAGAAGAAATTAATAAAGTCTTGTGATTAATCTTTGACTGTAATTTTTAAAACATTTGAATTGATAAATTCAGAATGAAGACTTACGTTCTCCATTAGATTCCATCCTTGATGCTGTGTTCACAGTATCTCCAAATAATGTATATCTTGGCATCGTGAGTCCGACCACTCCCGCTACACAAGGCCCTGTCAAAATATCCCAAACTTTACGCATAGCATATGGTTTGCAAAAGGAAATGAGTTTGTATAAGAACTCTCAAACCACTTAAGAGTAAGCTGACACCTATGCATGTATCACTTCATTTCTGCAGCAAAATAGCATGATGCAATAAATCTAATGATAAAGCTTTACCAATGAACGGTTTAAAGATTATGTTGCGCGATAGTTTCAGCATATTATTTCATTTACCTGAGTGCATTCCAATTCTCAACTTTAAAGTTTCGTTTGGAAGGAATGTGATTCGGAAAGTTTTTATGGCACGGAGAAGTTCTAATGACATTGATGCAATTTCGCCTGCATGTGTGTCGCCATTCCGGATGGGAAGGCCGCTAACTACCATGTATGCGTCGCCAATCGTTTCTACTTTGTATACATCGTAGTTCTTGATGATGGAATCAAATGTGGTATACAGAGAGTTCAACATCTGAACCACCTAAAAGAGGCCAATCAAAAAACACATATTAGTCCTAGTTGATTAAATTATGAAAACACATTTACCATTTTTAATTCTACAGGATCTGAAATGAGTCCTCTAAATGACATATATCCTGATCGAAGTCATAATTTGTTAAACATAACACTCAACTGTGAATCTATCGGCTTCAGTTTTCAGTTGCCTTTAAAAATAATGGAAATAGCACACATACATACATACACAGTATTGACGATAATTATTATAGAAAAACAACCTCCATAGGCGTGATTTTTGCTGAAAGTTTTGTGAATCCACATATATCGCTGAAGTATATTGTAACAGATTCATACACTTCCGGTTTGACATACTGTCCAACTTTAAGTTGATCAGCAATTGGTCTGAAATATTACAAAATGAAGTTTAGTCAGAAAGAGCATGATCTTCTTTATGAATTGTTTGATGTATATATATAATTTGTAGGAAAATTGCAAACCAATCTATAAATCATTGTCTTACCTTGGAAGCATGCGATGTAGAAGGGTTTCTGTTATCCTCTTTTCGTCAGCCAGCTGTATGGTCCTACTCTCCACCAGCTCCTCTAGGTGGTTCTGGTAGGATTCCATCATTGTCATGATCTGGTCAAAGATGTTTCTCTTCCTTTTGAAAGTAAATACAAAAAGCAACGTACATCACAATCAGGACGTGATACAAAGTTCATGCAACTTCAATAAGCTATGTTCAAAAATTCGTATTACAACTTAATTTTTTTTTTTAAATTAGATGCCAACTAACATCTCCTTCTCAAAGGGTTAAAATATTTTTGCTTTTTTTTTTTAAAAAAAAAAGGAAAATTTTATTTTGACCAAAAAGAATACCTGGAAATTTAATAGCAAGTAAACATCATTAACTGATTAAGATATAATATTTATTTATTTACCTCTAAAAATGCAATAGTTTTATGATTTCATAATTTATTTATAAGCGTGAAGGTCTATGGTATGGAATGTTACTGCTTTTATAAGGCATGTTTAAAATGAGTTAAAATGAAATAAAAGTAACAAATACATAGATTTTACGAAACAAGTTAAACTTACATTCCCTCTCGCATTTTGTGTAAGGTTTTATAAATGCAACGGAAGTCAGGTCTGTCTTCCGGCGCTTCACTCCAACAATCCATCATACAATCGATCACATACTTCTCACATTTTACAGAACTAGTATCTGGTCTAAAAGGGATCATTCCGCCGTCAATCACTCGGTATACAATATCTAAAGACAATATACAAAAAACAAAGTTAATAAAAACTTTTGAAAATATGCTGTACAATTGGTACACATTGATTTTTGTGAGCAAGAAACATATAAAATGAAAAATACTTGAACATAAAGCACTCACCTTTAGGCACCATGTTACAAAATCCAAAAGGGCCCCCTCTTCCAAATATTTCATGAAGGATGATTCCAAAGGCATAAACGTCACCCTTTGGCGACCCCCTCTTCTGAGGGCTCCGTAACTCCTCGGGAGCGCGCCAAAATAAATCTGATAAGGTATATAGAACATAATAAATTAATTCATGAAACTGGAGTTGTTCAGAAGGTATTAATTTTTCATGCCTAAAGCATTTATAACAGTGCCTATGCTAAATTTTGGTGCGAAACTCATCATCCATGTAATATTTCCCCCTGTTTCTTTCTATAACCATTAAATGTCCTTCTTTCAGGAGCATGACGCAATCTCTAAAAGGCAATTTTTTTTAAAATTTCAAACGTGTTAGCTAAATAGCTTTTCCACATTACAGTGAATTCTTCATTTCATTTTTTGTCAGTCTGATCTTCTTCAAATGAACTCATTTGAACTAAAATGAACTCTTGGTCATAATTCAGCTTCTTTTGTGCCGAACAAAATTTCTTTTGTTTTCCATTAAAATCTCTAACACCCAAGTCGTTTGCGGGGAGTTCAAATTATATTAAAAAAAACCTATTGAGTGAAACGAAAATGTTTACATTTTAAAGAAAAAGAAACAATAAATAATTAATATATACTCAAAAATTGTATTTTTAATATTTTATTCTTACTTCTGTAATAAGCATGTTCGTCCTCTTTTCGATATGTTTTAGCTCGGATGTCAAGAAGTCCAAAATCAGAAACCTGCAAAGTCCAGCGGCTATTTACTACACAATTTGAAGATTTTAAATTGCCGTGACACCCTAACTCACTGTTGTGCAGAAAAAGAAGGCCCTGAAATGTTAATATTCAGTTGAGAAAGAGTGTTATGAAATACCAACGAAGAAGGAAGTTTCATCTTTTAATATTGTACTTTCATGTAAACCTTTTAAATGAGTGGTCAAAAATTCTTTTAAAAATGTAAGATTATTTAAATTGTTTGAATTTTTCTTTTCTTAAATTATCGAAATTATATACTTGTATTGTTATGTGTATAACTTTCCGTTTAATGAATAAATAGCATAACATGCAATTAAGGATAAAAGTTTAAATTGCAATCATATTCGAAAATTCCTGGCACTCTGAGATTTTTATTGAAAATATTGTATGAAATGTCATATGTTAATCCTTTGATGCATAGGGTAGCACAGATGTACACTGTACATGTACTTTTGATCTTCTACCTGTATCATGTCTTTGATTAAGGAGGCAATAAACATTTCATCTAACTTAACATCCTCATTTTCCAAAATGTCCTAAAAAAATTAAATACAAAGAAAGATAAGCAACATGAATGACGACACATAAGGAATATTGAAAGTATGTGTACATGTACTGTACAACCAAAGAAATCTTTTTCGAAGCACTTTTTTAATAAAGTGTTTAACCAAATCTTAAATTATTCAGTTAGGGTGTACATACTTGTAGACTGCCTTTGGAACAATATTCGGTTAGAATAATAAATCTTGGATGATCGATACAGGCACCGATAAATGCATTTACGTTGCTGTGTCGCAAATCTCGCATCTGAAAAGAGTATAGACACACGCACTGTGCACATGTATATTGCATTGCTTCTTTTATCTTCTAAATAAATCACTATTAAGAAGTTATATTTCATGTCTTACAAAATAGTTCAAATTAGCTACCTTATAAGAGACAGGACTTAAAAAAAATACTCTGTTCAAAACTGTGTAATGTTTGTCTGCTCTTCGACTTTCGATTTAGAAAATAATGGGATACTTTACCACTTTCATTTCTTTTTGCATTTTCCTGTTAATGACCAGTGATTTGATTTCGTATTTCTTGATGGCCGCAAGCTGTCCTTTGTAGTAGCTGGTAGCTGTATACACTTGCTGGTTAGATGCCCGTGAGTCCATGGACTGCTGACTGTTTAGCGACAACTGTGGGAGGATATATACATGTACATGTATATGTTTACGGATTATTATGTTCAATATGTTTAAATTTTTAAAAGTAATGCTTGCCATATGTAGTCATTAATGACATTTTAACGCGGATATGTAAAAAAAAAAAAAAAAAAAAAAAAACAAGTTTGATAAACTATTAGTCACTATGGTAAACACATAGAACTGTATTCCTAAAAACGGGGCAAAATTTCCTAAACTTAGTTAGGGTATCGAGTTTAACAAATAAATAAGACAAATATATACTTTACAATCGGCGCAAGCTTCTTTTTTGCGAAAAAGGGGAAAAAAAGAATACATGAAAGCACAGATGTTAAATGATACAAATATGGTTTATTTTTAAATGTATAAAGGGGAAATGAGACCATGGTCTACGCTGTCGACCCGGGGCCACGATTTGAATAGACTTGAACTACTCAGATAAAAAAGCTGGACCATTCATTATTTAGAAACAGCAGTTCAAAAGAAGAATAAAATTTTCATTAATGAAACATCTACAACGACACACAGACACTGGGCACCCCTTGATCAGATTTCTCACATGAACCATTAGCTCATGTGAACTAAAATCTCGATTTAAAATATAATACATATATTCAAAGAAAAACCGGTAGGGTTGAATTCTTTGTACCTTGCTGCCGTAAGCATCTTTCTTTTCCTGGTCCATACTGAACTCTGCATTCTTATGACCAGACAAGGAAGCGTGGATATCGGCTTTGTCCACTTTCCACAGAAGACCAGCTATTTCCTGTTCGTATTTCCAATTTCTACAGAAATTAAACAAGGAAAAGAAAATTCCAGCTGTTGTATTAAATGCTTTTTGAGGCCAGTGGAAAGTATACTATGTAAAAAAAATAATAGGGTCTTTATTTTTAGACGATGTGTATAAAAATGTAAATAATATTATATTTCTCAAGGTCTAAACCTTTCTCTAATAAGCCTGATCTATCGTGCTATTCAATGGTTGTACTTTCAACGTAGCCTCTTTTGATTTGAACTCAAACTTCCCAATTCCAAAAATATACGTAGTATTTTATTGCATCAGACATTTCTAAATGGCTTGAGGACTTGCTGGAATAATAAATACGGTTATATTGACCAGCCAAGCAATTTATTCAGGAAGGTCTCAACGTATATCATAGTTCCCGTGTCTTGTAGCCTTCCAGTTTAATCACTTTAAAGCTGAGTTTTTTATTACTCTTGTTGGGAATGGATGATATCTGAAAGCTTTTTTTTTTGTCATTACATTAGAGTTGATCAAAAGACTTTTAATTACACCGAGAACTTCACCATATCGCTTTCTAAATTTATTGTTTTTCATGTTCTCTAGTACATTGCCAAAGCATTTGTATTAATTGGTTCGGTCTGAAATGCTTCGGGCATAACTTCTGGAAAACTGGAAAGGCAGTAGCACTGTAGGTTTTTTTTTCCTCTTCTAAGTTCTATGCATTATTTTTCATCAATGGAGGTACCTCACAGAATCCTGAACATAACACATCGATATCATATTCCTCTGATAAAAAATACGTTATACTTTATTTGTGCAGGTCGATGTTAAACTTGATTTCACATTATTTTTTTTAGACATGTATCATTGAATTAAGATTATGAGATAAAACATCACAGTTTGACTGGTTTTTCCCTTTGAAAGTCATTAGATCTTATGTAGATCTTATGTAGCAACGATTGGCTACGAGTTACAAGTTGAATTTTGTTCAATCAAGAATTTGTGTATCGAAAGAGATAAAAAAAAAAGGCATACAGTGCTGCGTAGTTTGTACATGTGTGTTACATGAATGGACAAAGAGACATTGTCAAATGATAAAGTTAATTCAAGAACACTTGCTAACTACTAATGAAAAATTGCACCTGTGTGAAAGAATGTATACAACACGTTAATTTCCACTGATATTGTAAAATTTATCACTAAATGGCAACTTTTCAACGGTGATTTGAACAGTATGAACAGTATTTAATTGTGATATACTTTCGATACATTGGGATAACGAATGTTATCAGAATTTGCATCTGCGTCTTAATTTTAATGTGATTTTTGAGCAGGAACGTGTAGATGAAGTAGTAAGAGATAAAAAATAAAGAAAATTATATTATAAAAATTATAAAAAATCATAAGTTGGTGCATCGTAAAAGCAGAGTCCTGTCCACAAGCACTTTTGCTCTGATGCTTAAAATATAAATTAAACTGACGATCAACTGCAAGAGTAATGTTGAGTGAAAATGGAATACACGTATTTAATTATGATAAATCTGTTATTACTTCACTAATCTGTGAGTAAGGTGTTTTTAATACTATAGTTATTTACATGTGAAAAAATATTCATATTTATATAATCTGTCAGTAAAGGTGTTACTATACTTACAGGTGAAAAAAAGTGTCAATATTCCGATACTAATCTGTCAGTAATGGTGTTACTATACTTACAGGTGGAAAAAAGTGTCAATATTCCGATACTGATCTGTGAGTAATGGTGTTACTATACTTACAGGTGAAAAAAAGGGTCAATATTCCGATACTAATCTGTCAGTAAAGGTGTTACTATACTTACAGGTGAAAAAAAGTGTCAATATTCCGATACTGATCTGTGAGTAAAGGTGTTACTATACTTACAGGTGAAAAAAAGGGTCAATATTCCGATACTGATCTGTGAGTAATGGTGTTACTATACTTACAGGTGAAAAAAAGGGTCAATATTCCGATACTGATCTGTCAGTAATGGTGTTACTATACTTACAGGTGAAAAAAAGGGTCAATATTCCGATACTGATCTGTGAGTAATGGTGTTACTATACTTACAGGTGAAAAAAAGGGTCAATATTCCGATACTGATCTGTGAGTAATGGTGTTACTATACTTACAGGTGAAAAAAAGGGTCAATATTCCGATACTGATCTGTGAGTAATGGTGTTACTATACTTACAGGTGAAAAAAAGGGTCAATATTCCGATACCAATCTGTGAGTAATGGTGTTACTATACTTACAGGTGAAAAAAAGTGTCAATATTCCGATACTCATCTGTGAGTAAATGTGTTACTATACTTACAGGTGAAAAAAAGTGTCAATATTCCGATACTAATCTGTCAGTAAAGGTGTTACTATACTTACAGGTGAAAAAAAGGGTCAATATTCCGATACTGATCTGTCAGTAAAGGTGTTACTATACTTACAGGTGAAAAAAAGTGTCAATATTCCGATACTGATCTGTCAGTAAAGGTGTTACTATACTTACAGGTGAAAAAAAGTGTCAATATTCCGATACTAATCTGTCAGTAAAGGTGTTACTATACTTACAGGTGAAAAAAAGGGTCAATATTCCGATACTGATCTGTGAGTAATGGTGTTACTATACTTACAGGTGAAAAAAAAGTGTCACTATTCCGATACTGATCTGTCAGTAAAGGTGTTACTATACTTACAGGTGAAAAAAAGCGTCAATATTCCGATACTGATCTGTGAGTAATGGTGTTACTATACTTACAGGTGAAAAAAAGTGTCAATATTCCGATACTGATCTGTCAGTAAAGGTGTTACTATACTTACAGGTGAAAAAAAGTGTTAATATTCCGATACTTATCTGTGAGTAATGGTGTTACTATACTTACAGGTGAAAAAAAGGGTCAATATTCCGATACCAATCTGTGAGTAATGGTGTTACTATACTTACAGGTGAAAAAAAGTGTCAATATTCCGATACTCATCTGTGAGTAAATGTGTTACTATACTTACAGGTGAAAAAAAGTGTCAATATTCCGATACTAATCTGTCAGTAAAGGTGTTACTATACTTACAGGTGAAAAAAAGGGTCAATATTCCGATACTGATCTGTCAGTAATGGTGTTACTATACTTACAGGTGAAAAAAAGTGTCAATATTCCGATACTGATCTGTCAGTAAAGGTGTTACTATACTTACAGGTGAAAAAAAGTGTCAATATTCCGATACTAATCTGTCAGTAAAGGTGTTACTATACTTACAGGTGAAAAAAAGGGTCAATATTCCGATACTGATCTGTGAGTAATGGTGTTACTATACTTACAGGTGAAAAAAAAGTGTCACTATTCCGATACTGATCTGTCAGTAAAGGTGTTACTATACTTACAGGTGAAAAAAAGCGTCAATATTCCGATACTGATCTGTGAGTAATGGTGTTACTATACTTACAGGTGAAAAAAAGTGTCAATATTCCGATACTGATCTGTCAGTAAAGGTGTTACTATACTTACAGGTGAAAAAAAGTGTTAATATTCCGATACTTATCTGTGAGTAATGGTGTTACTATACTTACAGGTGAAAAAAAGTGTCAATATTCCGATACTAATCTGTGAGTAACGGTGTTACTATACTTACAGGTGAAAAAAAGTGTCAATATTCCGATACTGATCTGTCAGTAAAGGTGTTACTATACTTACAGGTGAAAAAAAGTGTCAATATTCCGATACTAATCTGTGAGTAACGGTGTTACTATACTTACAGGTGAAAAAAAGTGTCAATATTCCGATACTGATCTGTCAGTAAAGGTGTTACTATACTTACAGGTGAAAAAAAGTGTCAATATTCCGATACTGATCTGTCAGTAAAGGTGTTACTATACTTACAGGTGAAAAAAAGTGTCAATATTCCGATACTAATCTGTGAGTAAAGGTGTTACTATACTTACAGGTGAAAAAAAGTGTCAATATTCCGATACTAATCTGTGAGTAATGGTGTTCATATTACTATAGTTATATGTGAAAAAGGTAGCAATATTACTATATACCAATCTGTGAGTAAAGATTACTATATGAGTATGCAATAAAGGTGTCAATATTACCTGTAGACTATCAGGATCACTACTAATGAAAACAATAGGAGCGCTCCCATGGTTCCCAAAACGATCTCCAAGGTGTATTCTGTAAGACAGAAAATCTGTCTTTTACAATTAATACACAATAACGTCCCAGCTGGCTTAGTATCCGTGTATTACAGAAAGCATGTTTTTTTTTTACACTTTGTCTCCAAAAATGAAGTCAATGTCCTATTTTTATGCCACCGTATCGAAGATTCGGGGTATATAGTTTTTGCCCTGTCTGTTTGTCTGTCTGTTTGTCTGCAAAAACTTTAACCTTGCCCATAACTTTTGATTGGTTGAAGCTATGACTTTCATAATTCATATGTGTATTTCTTGTGACAAGACCTTTCTTTGGGTACCATTTTATTTGACCTTTTGACCTTGGTGTTTGACCTACTTTTGCAAAATTTTATGAGACTTTAACCTCGGCAAAACTTTTGAATAGTTGGTTTTTGGGCTTTCAAACTTCACATGTCTATTCCTTGTGACAAGACCTTCCTTTGGATACCAACAACTTTGACCTTTTGACCTTGACCTAGAAGTTTGACCTACTTTTGAAAAATATTAATCTTGGCCATAACTTTTGAACGGTTGATCTAGGGCTTTCATTTTTAACATGTTTATTACCTGTGACAAGACTTTCATTTGGATACCAACCACTTTGACCCTTTGACCTTGACCTAGGAGTTTAACCTTCTTTAGAAAAACTTTAACCTTGGCCATAACTTCTTAATGGTTGGTGCTAGGGCTTTCATACTTCACATATGTAATTCTTGTGAGAAGACCTTTCTTTGGATACCAGCAACTTTGACCTTGGAGTTTGACCTACTTTTGAAAAACTTTAACCTTGATCATAATTTTTTAAACATTTGGTGCTAGGGCTTTCATACGTCACATGTGCAATTCTTGTGACAAGACTTTCCTTTGGATACCAACAATTTTGGCATCGACCTTGACCTTGGAGTTTGACCTACTTTTAAAAAACTTTAACCTTGGCCATAACATGTGAACGTTTGGTTCTAGGGCTTTCACATTTTACGAACATGTGTATCACTTGTGACAAGACCTTCCCTTTGGACACCATTTGACCTTGACCTTAACGCTTTACTTACTTTAAAAAAAACTTTAACCTGCACCATAACTTTTGAACAGTTGGTGCTTGGGCTTTCAAATTTCACAGGTATATTCCTCGAGACAAGACCTCTATTTGGGTACCAACATTTTTTATCTCTTGACCTGGAGTTTGACTTGCATTTGAGAAACTTTAACCTTCGCCATGAGCTGCCATACGGGGGCATCAGTGTTTCAAAAACACATTTTGTTTTTTCCTGTTTTGTACAGTTATTTCTAGTAATTTTAATTTTTCACTTGTGTAAATATGTGATTGGCATTCTCTCAATGTCTCGACTTTGACAAATAAAGATGTAATATAGCTATTTTCACAGTAATTTTCACTCTCATTTTCCATTGAAGGGCTACAGTGTAATGCTTGCTAAATTTAAATGTACCGCCGTAATGATGTTAATCTATGTTCACTCACGTTTTGGCGGTATACATCGTTGTCTTCTGTACCCACACGCTGGTTCATCTACGGGGGGATGTCCCGATACCCAGTCAATCAGTTCATTACCATATAACCTCAGAACCTCAAATAAGGAGACAGATCTGCAGTTATATGCCGTTTGCATGTAAATATTTCATGATATCAAGTCATGATATTGAGTAAAGGCGATATATTTAGGGTCAGGGTCGTGTCATGGACGGCTTATAAAGTCAGGGGTCCTGAATCAACCCTTGACAGATTTCATTCGATATCTTGCAGGCTGATTGCATCGACATCTTTCGAAAAAAAAATACAAATCTTGGTTGTTTTTTTTTTTTTTTTTTTTGCATCTCTCAACCAATCACATTAAGCCTTTCGGTGATTAAAAAAAAGCGTAACACGTGTATTTTAGGTGTCAACTGATTCCTTTCTATTTATATTATCTGTTTACTATAATTTTATTGATGCTTCTCAATGAGAAAAGCAGGCCCAAAGAAATTGAATGAAAGTCAGGGGTCCAATGGCAACGTGTTGACTCAGGACCCCTGACGTTGTGAGGATATATAAAGATGACCAGAGGTATGACCGGGAAAGAAGGGAGACATACGTTTTTTGTTAATTTTTGTTGAATTGAAAATGACAATTCTTGTGATTAAACGGGATTTTTATTAATTTTTAAAATTAAAATGAATTAAAATTATTTATTATCATTTCTAAATGAATTCAATGTACTTGTACATTGTATATGCATCATCTGTTATGCTAAAATAAAAACCAATAAAAAATAGCAATTTATTAAAGGAAAAGCTGTTAGTATTTGAGATTTATAATGGGAGAGACTCTAATCACTTTCTGGTGGGTCATACTTAAAGATGCACTGGTAATTAAATATTATACATGTACAACCATTTCAATAGATGAACTTTTGACAGATATCTAGCAAAATTATCCTTGCTTGAATGTAATACTCAGAATTGTCTGGCTAACTAGCTAAATATTGGAGATTTTGTTGGTCTATTCGTTTATCAAAAAATAGATTAACTAATCACTTTATTTTGCCGTAACCCCTATATTTATTAACTTGTGATAACGAAGTTTCTGGCAAACAAGCGAGGAAAGCATGTTTATCTTCGGTCTTTTTATTCTGGTTTTTGTGAGTCAATATCTATGCCCTAATGTTCCCTTCTAACCAGAAATCACTGAAATCACCTAATCACCAGACCATTTACAATGATGTTCTTAAGTGCTGGATTATTCAAACCCTTCATTTATGTACGGTGAATGAAACAAAATCAATGACAACCGTCAACAAGAATTTCATTCATTCAAAGCTCATTTCTTCTCCATCAAATTACACAGATGCCTAAGCAGGCCCACTTATATGGTCATTTTGTCATTTTGTGGTCCTATGGATTTCCATCTAAAGAAAATGAAATGTCGAGAATATGTACTTATCAATTACCGGTAGGGAGCCCTCACTAGATTGAAAGTGACCAACAGGCTGCATAGAGTACTTGGATTTAGGGTCATTTATCTCCATTCTCGCCAATAACGTGTAGTTTCCCTCAGCATCACCATTTTGATCAATGAAAGTGGTGGTTCCTTGTATACCTGATCAAGGCGACATAAAACATTGTATTATAAAGATTCGAAAAGAATGAACACTTCTTTTACAATATTAAAAAATTCAATCGTGTGTGAATAGTATTCTAAAAGCAGTTTTGTTATCTACGAATCAAAGGGAGTAGTCAGCAAAAGTGTCTTCTTAATATTCTATATAAATGTGATAATGATTGTTTATTGCTCAGTAGTGAGTATACACACTCGTGAATTTTGGACAAATTGCATTTCAAGTTTTTATAAATTCTTACTTTCATAACTTTGGTTTAACAAAGAATGAATAATAGCCTTTCCATCTGCGATTGATCCTCCCGACTCTACAAGTTTGTGGGCAGCTCTGGCGTACAACATAACGGCATCGTATAAATATGCCGCGTAGACAGTTATCTACATAATTCAAAACGTATATATGATGACAGTAAAAAATAAAATAAAACACATTATCACAGAATATAATCAATACACTCTGTTGTGTACAGCGATTTGCTTCTCAGGATCTAAGTTAAATATGCGCCGATTTATTTCTTTTTCCGAACATCAAATGCATGAGGATATAGCCAGAGAACATGCCTATACATTATATATGTAACTAGAATACGAGTAAATTAATCCGCCAAGTTTTTTTCTTCTTTTTGTTCTGAGTGTCAGATTACTGACAAGATTATAATACATTTTTCCTATCGAATATATAATTATTATCTGTTGAAATATTAAACAACAGGTTGACAGACTCGCCTCTCTACCGATGTGATTTCTTTAAATTGTATGCATATGCTTCTACCATTATTGTATTGACTTCATTATTGAAGGTTAAGTTTTCTGTAGCTTTCTATCCTTGAAAAAATAAGCTATGGCATTTCTAAAACTAATGTATAGATGCCACTCCTTTCCCTTCCTCACTGTAGACAACAATAAATGATCGAAACAGTCTTCTTTTTCTGATGGCAGATAGACTTAAGAGACTTGGATGGCCGGGAAGACTGGGGGTTGTTATTAAAATAGTATTTTTTGTAGGTTAGGTTTAAGAAATAATGATAGTGTTTATTACAATTGAAAATCCTGATTTGTTGTTTTGTCACTGTATCTGAGAGGGAGCTAGAATCTTGTTAACTCCTTCAATGATGTACATTTTAAATCATTATATGTAGTAAAATTACGTGTAATTGTCGAGAAATAAGAAAACTATATTTACACATTAAACCTTAAATTCAACTGATTTTTCGCTGAGCATTATTTTAAATGATCGATATGAATGTAAGAATATTAAAAAAAGATATAGAAATATTATAAAAATATAGTGGACTTTGGTAAATGGCAATCATGCTAATTTCATGCTAATTTACCTTTTTTTCATAAGCAGGAAATGGGTTGAAAAAATTAAATGGGGGTTCTTCGTTGAATTCCCTAACTTTGTCTTGGAATTGCGTGTAGTTCTCGCTGGAGTATGGACTAAGTGTGATGATCAACAACGATTGAGCAGCATCCACGTTCCTCTTCTCTTCAGGGTTGTCAATCGTTCCTAGATGTTAAATAAAAACTTGAATATGAATACTTCATGCGTGAATAAAATAATCAAGTACTTCAGTAAATATTCATACACGTGTTTGCAATTATTTAAGTAATTATTGTATCAAATAAAGAATAAAGAAAATGACTTCTTTCCCCAAACAGTCTGTCCTGGAGCAAAGTTTATTAGAGCATTTCGAAGGTTCCAAAACAAACCATTGTGTGATATCAAAATTTAATATTCATTAATCTAAATTTTCGTGTTTGAAGAATTTCATAATTTTTTCATAGCTCAAGGAGTTTACTGATATCAACCCATTTTCTTATAAACACTATAATCGTACATCAGGTTATATTTATTTCATAATTAACACACCTTGTTTATAATGAGGTTGAAAAATAATTATATTGCTTGTATCTTAAGATACAATTATTTAACAAATAAAACGGAAATATGCATTCGTGCCTAATGTGATAACGCGAGACAACATTTTCTGTGTTGATGTTTTGTGCCATTCATTCAGGCAATTTTCCGTGCCTGGCGTTGGTCCAACACTTTTATGCACATTCTTCAGTCGTTAATGATTTTAAGCAGAATAATATATATGTTACATCAGACACAGGGCAAGGATATATATCCTAAAACAATTCAATATGTAGGTCTAAGTCAACGTTACGATAGGCGTCACTCATTTTAATTTCTCCCGAGCGGTTAAATTATGAAATGGACTCAATTCTACAATCAATTTTGCATTCTTCAATGTGATTAGCTATTACTAATCAATGTCAGAAGAATAATGAATGATGTGAATACTTGAATGCAATTATCATTTTTTAAAAGATTTGTTCCCCTTACGTTTGAAGTATTTTAGCGGTTCCGTTCTGTCGAAGGTCACGTGATCTACGAATATGACGATGTACTCCCCCGTGTCTAATAGGCCTCTGTCATACAAGTTTGTCATAAGATCCACCACTCCGTTCAAATCTCCCAGGAATACATAAACTGAAAAGAAATAAACAATTTGGATTTTTAAAGCATTATTCTCCCCTCTTCTGCAATTCGTTTATATACCATTGATAAATTTCTAGTATTCACATTTTTTGAGGGAAAAAAATATTGGTTAAAAAAGTTGTTTCTCGTAAATTTATTCAACAATACATTAGACCATCGACGAATTTCAGATCCTGTGATCCATGGTAAAAAAGATTATGTCATTAATTTTGGATCTTGCAAGTCATGGAAATTTTTGTGTCAATCTTCCTTAATTCCTTTTTCTATGAGGTTAATGAATTAGAAATAAAAAATGTAAGTCTTATCGATCCTTATTGGAACTGCTAATAATGTCAAGGATGTCTTGATGATTTATGTATGAAGATTATGCCGTAAATATACCTTATACATTACGTTAGAGTACTGAACTAATCTAGAAACAAAGCAATCTCGTCCTCCGCACTATTTACCAGAATAATAAACAATAATGTGGTGACTAAGTTTGGTGACATTCACCGGAAATTGATCAAAACCACCCTAGCTCACCCATAGCATCAAAAGAAAAATGAAAGTTTTCTAGGATGAGGTGTTACCGAACCAAGTCTTGCTATCGAGCGTAAAAAGCCGATTGATTGTCATGCAATGCCATTGACGATGCGGCGGTGTTTTGCTACCCTACCAATTTCCCGTTGTCTCATAACTTATCTGTTTTGTGATAGTGACACAAATGTGATAAAAGCTATACGGTAATAGTTTCCTATGTTGTGGAAAACAGACTTTCAATTACCGGCAAAAAGACAATGAATTTCTTTTTTTTTTAAGCAAGATTATATCACTAAGTGAAAATGGACACAGCTCCCATCATCTAATGGGAGAATTGCGGTATTGTTCAGCAGTTTGGAAAATAATGCACTGACAAGGAAGATCTTGGTGATTTATACGATTTTTCTATAATCCTGTGTCTATTGAAAATACATTTATATTCGTGGATGACAACCAATGTGGTTCCATCACTGTCTGATGTTGTCAAATACAGCTCTTGCTAGATCATAAAAAGGATAACACATAATATGACCATACACGCACGATTACATAATTTAGTCCCCCCCCCCCTTTTAAATTAAATTATGAAATTATATAGAATGAAACTGGTATGATTTAAAAAAGCTCTACTTGTAGTAATAGAGCTTTTTCAAAAAGCATGACCGTCTTTAGCAACAAACAGTAAACTGGCATACACCTCTATGGCCGTATTATTCTTGAGCATTTCTTCATCAACTTTTTACTGACATTAGCCTTAGCATGTGAAAGTTCAACCAGACGTTCGGCTTTCTCCGTAAACTTCGACTCTGCTGCTGGTCGGAGTTTACGGAGAAAGCCGAGGAATTAGAAAGACAGTCAAAACAAAGAAAAAGAATAAATACAAGATTTCAAGCAATAAAGAACATTTCTGTTTACAATGAAAATATAGAAACGCCTTTTAGTAATTGCTATAAAAAAAATTACAGTCTTATTTAGATTTATTTAGGGCCATTTTCAACTATTCGTTTTGTCAAATTTTTTTTTAAGATTGAAAATCTTGAAAAATTGTTAAGTCGTACGAAAATTAGTTCACCAGAAAATTATCTCCTTTGCCCTGAACAGCATTTTAACCAATGAAATGATTGGAAATTTTCACACCATGTAATTTCTACCAATCACAAAAGAGAGGAAGTGCATAGTCCGAAGACTGTAAAATACTTCAACTCTGTACATCTCTTCCAAGGAAGACGGTAATTATCAATTATTCTTGTTTTTTGTGGTCAATACGATGATTTAGCCACCTGAGGAGTACAATATTCACCGAGCACGAAGGGCTATGGTATTCGGGCGCAGTTGAAATAACTTTTCAGAACTAAATGTATCAATTTGAAAGTTCTAGATCTTAATCTTATTTTAGTCCAATGTAGTAAAAAATACATTCTAATGTTCACCTGGAAGGTCACGCGCAGGTGAACATAACGTAGTATTTTTTATACATTCTTGAGTCTCAGCCAATAATAGAGCATGGATGATTAAATCATATAAGAAAAGAATTTATTAGTATGCATTTTCCAGAAAACCACCATGTTTATGTGTTCGTGCAAGAAATGGTTGTACACATATCCTGGATTCTGTTTCATATTGTATTAGTGTTGGTAGTCAAAATAATACTTTTAAATGTCTGACTTATTTATTGCTGATGTTTTTTCCTATGATCTAAAATGATGATCAAATTACGGTTTTATGTAAGGCAAATTTGTTTCCTCAGATGAAGAGGACTTTAGCGTGCCACATCTATTTAAGAACCAGAAAAGTCAACTTTTCTTGACAACTCTTGAAAACAACAAAGTATTAACATAATACGAAGCAGAAATCGGATAGTAGAAATTGGGTCTGTATGTCGGTTATTCAATCAGATGTTCCTCGATATAGCCTCTCCGCGCAGGAAATAATAGATGCCGTGTTATCGTTCACGAAAACTACTCTTAAAGGATAAGTCCGTGTTGGTTGTGTCTGCTTATAAATGACATGACCATCAGACGAAAAACCAAAACACTTTTATCTGCAAGAGATTTTTTTCCAGAGTAGGTGGCATTTATGAACGAATCATCAGACAGTTTTATGGCTTCATCCATCCATTTGTAAAGGCCTTGATATTATTTATATGATCTGATTTCTAGCAATTTACAATATTCTTTATGACATTGTATATTGTATTGTACTTTAGCAGAAGGTCGCAATGAAAATTGATGACTCATTCCGTACATTTCTCTTTATTGGGGATATAAGGTATCGTCATTTGCATATTCTCCTCTGATTGTTAATATTGGACATATGTTCCACCGGCAGATGGGTCTTACCTTGAACAATTCAATGAAATCTGATTATGACACCTGAAATCTTGAATTCGAATCAGAAATCTCCTTAAATGCCAAATCTTAATTAGTCTAAATAGTTTAAAATATCATTTTATGATTTTGTTTTGAATTTGCCATTTTTATACTGATTCAAAATGCGGTGACTTTCGTTCTCCCGCCTGGGAAAATTATCATACATGTAGTACATAAATACGAGAGGGGGAGAGAAACTAAGGTGACATGTTCATTGATTTTCAGTAAAGTTGACCGACTTTAGTTAAGATGACACATAGATAATAACTTGGCAAATGGAAGAAAAATTCGTTGATGAATGTGGTAAACTAGGAGCTTAGCCAAGGTTAACTCTGATGTTGTATGGGGTGACAAATCATCCACATCTATCACGTTTCTCTGTCTTGTTTATGGTAACAGATCTCTGTTTATCATGATTATGATTGTTGAAATCATTCAAAGATTATTGCATTAGGTTATCATTATTGTATACGCTTGATTACGACTTCCTTCATCTCACAACCTCAGGGGTCCTGAGTCAACTTGTTGTTGTGAGACCCCTTACATACATGTACTTCATTGCTTTTTTCAGGCTTGCTTCTCTCATTGAGAAACACCAATCAAATTCAAGCTTTCATAAGCAGACAGATAATGTAAACAGAAAGGAATCAGTTGACACCTCAAATACACGTGTTACAAGTTGTTTATCACTGAAAGACTCAATGTGATAGGTTGAGAGATAAGAAAAAATCCAGATTTGTAATTTTCCCCCAAAGACGTCGCTGCGTAAAATATTGAATGGGGTTTGTCAGGGGTCCCAAGGCAACGAGTTGACACAGGATCCTTGACGTTGTGAGGAGGAACTTCCATTGACATACTAACTGTCATAATATACTAATTATATTTAATGTTATAGAGATTCAGTAGACCAATCACCAATGCAAAATTAACGTAGTTAGAGCAGATACTCATTCACAGACCCGAGAATATGTCTCTTTCTCTGACATGTAGCCCAGCCACCTATTAGTAAATAACAGGCCCATAGCAAAGTTTTTTAAATTGTATATGGGGGGATTCAATCTCAAAAAAAGACAAACAACGACAACAGCCAAAAAACCCAATGTGAACCGCCCCAAACTTGAAAATCCTATCTCGTGGGGGTTGGGGTGTGTGTGTTTCTCTTACTTTTCGAGATGTCAAGTAACCTCTGATAGTACAATTGTAACATGGGATCAAAGTAAAAAAAAGCTTTGAAAGCGGGGCTTACTTGTCTATTTTAAGTTTTAGTGCTATTTTATAGCTAGCCAAATAAGGTAAAATAGTCACTTTTGTTTTTTGTCGCATGAATTTGCTCTGTTGTTTTCTTCATGCTTAACTTGCTTACTTCTCAAAATATTTCATGCTCTTTTCATTTGCTGCCCAAGTGGTCATTTGTCGGGTTCAGGTGGATTGATTGTATGTTGTTTTACGTCCCATTCGAGGAGTTTTCACTCATATAGAGACGTCACCATATACCGGTGAAGGGCTTCAAATTTTGACCTTTACTCGGCACTCAGGGCCATTGAGCAGTGAGGGATCTTTATCGTGCCAACGCCTGCCGTGACACGGGGCCTCGGTTTTTAAAGTCTCATTCGAAGGACTCGCAACTTTCACCTCAAACTGCCGAGCGCATGGCGAAGGAACAGTTGCTACCCATTTTTTATGGACTTAGGTCAGTCGCGGCCGAGATTCGAACTCACGACCTCCCGATCACGGAGCGAGCGCTCTGCCGACTGAGCTACCATGAACGGTAGGGTTCAGCTGGACGTATTACATGTACATGTAATTTTCTTTCCCATGATACCAGTACCAGTCAGACGACATCTTCGCATGCTCAAAATTCTTCTACTTTTTATTATTCAATATTACACAATGGAAGAGTTCAATATACCTATACATGTTGTGTTCTTTGTTTATAAAATAAATTCATCAAACATAGGTCGAAATTTAATTTGGGGGGTCTGAAAAATCTCTAAGTAGATTTATACTTTTGTTAATTATGGAATAAAGAAGCTGCAATATCAATCGATTAAAAACTTATTTGCCTTTGACTAGCGGCTATATATATGTATCCATTTGAGGAGAACCATATCTACATAACAAGATAATTTTAGATCCATCTTTTACCTCTGGTGTCGACGTACGTTCTGTCAACGATTCCCGGAAATGGGTTTCCGTTGGAGAAGGGTGTATAGGGCTCCGTATATTCCTGTCTGTCGTTGACCGTGATGTTGGCAATTTCTGCATGTTCCAACAACTTTTCGGCGATTGTCTGCTGCTTATGAGAAGAGCCTACAATCATGGTGAATTTCTTCCAGTTAAAGTGAAGCAGCAGAGCAACCAGGGACTTAGTAACCTGTTTAACGGGAGGGTAGGTTCTGGCGAAGGTGGGGTACATACTCTTAATTGAAACTTCATCATCTGCACATTTCTGGGTAAAAGAAAAAAAAGTTATAAATTTCATACTTTAATTTATAAACAACTGCAGATATATATGCATGTAAACAGAGACATGCCAGCTTCAATATTAGACTCCGTGAGTGTATAATAAAAAGGTGAATATAACGAGCAGTGATCATTTTATATGCATATTGACAATACAGATCGTGAGCAGAGCAAAAACACGTTCCCCTGGAAACACCAAGGGGTGTAATAATGTGTCTAGGAGAGTCACGTCCGCCCTTTCCTTCTGTAATGATCAGGTAAACAAAGTAATCCAAGGTCAGCATTAGTATGAAACATTGGCCTTACAATTGGTATGAAACATGTCAAATTCGACCGAGCAGTAGGGAAAAGTTGCAAAGATGATCATTTTAACAACCAGAGAATTTGCAAAATTCACTTCTAACTGTTGACTATTGAGTGTGCTGTTTTATCAACCTATTTGTCCGTAGCCTGCTCTGGTGTAAGCATTGATCGTAATCAGAACATGTTCTTGCGTACTAAATCAATTGAGAAACGTAAATATCATAATTATAGTATATAAATAAAGAAATAGGGTAAAAGGACGATGGAAAAGTTAGTCATTCTTTTGTTACTAGTATGTTAATAACAACTGATTTGTTTTCTTTCTTTTTTTAATCCACATTTGAATTACACCCACTTCTTATTTGTTATAGAACAGTTAATCCACACTACTTCCGGGGTCCTGAATCACCTTGTTGTCGTGGGACCCCTTACAAACTTCATTCGGCTTTTCTCAGGTTTGCTTTTCTCATTGAGAAGCACCAATCAAATTAATAGACAGATAATGTCAGTTGACACCTCAAATGCACGTGTTACAAGTTGTTTATCACCGAAAGACTTCATGCAATTGGTTGAGAGATAAGAAGTACAATCAAAATTGAAAATCAGCCCGTATATTGAACGTGGTTTGTCTGGGATCCCGTGGAAATTTTAACGAGCTGACAAGACCCTTGACGTTGTGAGAATGGAAACAGTTTGTCTGAAATCTCTCCTTCACAGCAGTTAATATTTTCGTAAGGAGGGGCATAGTAGAACATAAACACTTAAAGTGTATCTTTGTTATTAAGGGTAACTTAGAAAAAGCATTTTCAAAATTTTGAAGAATCAGTCTTTAAATGCAATATATATCAAAAGCACATGTTCAAATTACATAAATTATTAAACAGTTTTAGAGATAATCTCTGATAAAGCAATGGCGAGTCATTGACAGCTAGATAGCTAGATAACCAGGCAGATGGACAAAGTAATAACCCCCTCCTCCAGAAATGCAAGGGTATAAAATTTTGTTTCTGGGGGAAAATTCATAACAGAAATTTTAAAAATTTTAAATGAATAATGTGAATAACAATAAGTGAACACGCATAATATGTGATTTTTTAAAATTTGTTTTGGATATTTAACAGGGGAAAATAAACACTGATACATTTAATTTTCCCCCCATTCCTGAATAATATGTAAAGACACAAAGTATCAAGTATATCGTGGAAGTAAGTTTAATTCTGTTCCTTCTTCAATTTATACAGTTCCAACAATTTCAAAAAAATGGAAGAAAACCTATACAGTCAGGACCTGTTGTAACAAAACACGACACAAATTGATTCCAGAGCATCATCATTCTGGATCTATCTGCCTTAACTAATGATTTTTCTAATTAATGACATACATTCTCGATGATCATCTCTAAGATTTCTTTTTCATGAGATTCATCAACGTAATGAGGAATAAATCAAACACATTAAGGCATAAAAAGATCTTCTTACAATAACAGACCAATGCAAAGCATTAAAGACTTGCATTGATTCGCTTTCATATTGAATCTCAAAAATGCGTCTGAACTTTTGATCGGTGGTTTATATAATGTTAAATGCCATTTTAATATTTTACCTAGTTGACTGAAGAGCCAACTATATTTATTAACAAAAACTCTTTTGCATTAACTTTCCACATTAAAAGACCGTGGAGTATTTAAATTTACTTAATTATTATTTATAAACGGCATACAGGTGAGAAATCAACTCTGTGAATACACAAATCAGACACGGCCTCGCCATTTCATGATGCCGAATTCAATCCTCTAACATTATCTTTGAAAAGAAATAAGTGATCGTAAAACACATCCGTATTCATTTGAATTACACATCAATTGAAAGCATTCAGCAAATAAAAAAATGCCTACTAAAGATTCTTGTCTCAAATAAAAGAGAGAATCCCCATAGAAATTAATAAGGCATTAGGAATATCAAACATAACGGCTCTGCCATCAACGGAGCATGGAACGTATTTATATTATCATCTGAGAGAATACTTCAGTTTGAAAATCGAACAAATGTTAATGAAATGCCTATTTAGGTGTAAACACATTTTTGTATAAGGGGAAGGTAAAAAATCAATTAAACTTCAGAACACTAAGCACCGCTTCGTGAGATATTATGCTGTCAGAAAAGTTTACCGAGAAATTATACTTAATTGGCCACTTCAAAAACAGATTTAAAAGCAATCTAGATTTTTTAAAGACGCATTCTTTATGCTTTTCGTTCTCTGAAGTATGAAAGCTTGCAAATGGCAAAGGCTAAAGTAGAATGAATGCTAGATGTTTATGTCTATCTAGATCAGAACATTCAAATGATGTATAAAAACAAAGATAAGAAATGAAAATCAACATTTTTTTTTTTCCAAACTGGCATTCATTCTTTTATAAACTTAATTATTTTGAATATAAGACCTCAGATTTGTATATTATATTTGTAGATTATATAGTGGTTCGATATAACATAATGAATTATGTAATAATGGGGAAAAAATACGTTAATTAAAAGAAATTAAAGAAGTAAATATCCCGATTCTAATTCTGCTCAGTATTTTAAGTTGTGTTAAATGCGCATATGAAGGTTTCAGACAACTTATTTGGCGGTAACTGCATTATATGTTTCTGTGAAATACGAAACCGTCACTAGATAGTTTTACATAATATACGTAAACCTGCTAGTATTGCAAGATAAATCAAAATGAATTTTCTGAACAATACAGTATTTTTAATTTTTTTTATATCACATGCAAGAAACTACACCTAACTTGTATCTTTAAACTTATTTGATACATAATATCCCCCGATTACAAACAATTTTTAAACCGAGACCGGCTACTGACTAATAAGGTGATGTTACAGAAATTTCGAAGTCAGCATTTCGAAGTTCTATGGTCGTTATCATGGCCTTGTTCGCAAATACAACCTATCGTTGGTTGTATTTTGACTGACATTTTATACCAATTGTAAAAACATTTTTTTTCATACTTTAATTCTGACAATTGATTACTCTGTCTACATGTACCAGATTAATGCAGAAGGCTTACAGCTGGTGTGACAGGTCGACAGGGGATGCTTACTCCTCCTACACACCGGATCCATCCTCTGGAGTTTCCAGGTGTCCGTGTTTTATGTTCTTTATCAGATATTTTTTTTTAGATCGACCACTGTTTGATATCTTTCACTTTTACATTTCTTTAATAATAGATAAAAAAAATCAAAATATTTTCACAGACTTTCAAAGGAAAATGTAGCGTACAGACTTGTAAGTGTGCTGAATTACAAAAAGCAGTTTAAATTTAAAACATCAGATTGACATAAACTATTTGATCTTTTTTAAAGAATAAACATCCATTTTTGAAGTCTATATAAAAGCGCCTATTTAAATGTCTTGCGAGCTCATCAGGAAGGTACATTACAAATGACACTAAATAAATAAACACATTCCTTTTAACATCTAATATCCTCGCCGTTTTGTGCCCCCAATCCTTTTCTCGAAAGATATATTTTCAAATTTTGAGCATGCAATCTTACTATGAAGGTGTAACCCCGAATTTTACTTCATGGACATTATCAACAAATCCCAGTTAAAACATTAATATCTGATTTCATTTTGATATTTTTCATCATGTACATGTATAAGGTAATTAAGAAACCGTTTAAGGCATTTGAGATCTTGGGTTCTCAAGGCAATGTCATGCACATAATATAATTTGTTATAGTTTATATCTTTTTTTTACCTCTACGAAGACCTAAACACTGATTTAAACCATTCTATCAATGTGTGCTAAATACATTCTGGGCTGGTTTGTAAAACACCTACATGCTGTTAATATTATATTTATAAAGCTTATTTGTTTTAACTTAAATCCAAGTAGAAGATGATTAGTCTTATTCCAAGTTTTAACATATTTAGCGCAGGTGTACTGACAGAAGATAGGGGTACAAAATATTATTTTTAGTGATAACTACGTAAGCTTTACAGATTTTTTTTATTGGATAATTGAAGACAGTGATAATAATATTTGAATTAAGCACAAAAAACCGCCTAGACCTAGTAGTGCTGCATCATACATGAAAAATTTCATAAGAGTTTGTTATGGTTGAAATACAAACTGATTGCGATGTCTGTCTCATCTTCCGGTTGTGAGAATCTGAATTTGATTTGTAAATCCGAGTTACAGCAAGCGTAGTTCGAAAATACTTTTCTTAATGCGTTCTTGTAAAATCTTATATAAACAATGTTTAATATTAAAAATAATTCATAAAATGGCATATATACACGTGCATATTTTTACATTAAATATCAGAATGGATTTTCAACACTAAAATTAGGAAAAGAATCACGTCCTCTATACTCCTGGATTATCAAAAGAGTTGTTCTTAGATTGTACGATATTATTTTTCGGCTATTTTTGGCGTTGAACAATGTAACCACTGACCGAAAAATTCTCTTTTATTTAATCAACTGTGTAAACAATTATAGCTAAAAATTATCTGTGTACCCCATGCGGGATTCTTTTAACAACTATAAATCTGTTATAATTTTATGAAACCAAATCTTTTATTTTTGGACCCACTAGCTCATACTGTTAGGTGGGTCTCTGAAACTTCTCTATAACACGCTTTATAGCATATCAGATGATTACACAGAATGAAACAGACGGTATGTGGAACTTAAATTTAGATTGTAACTTGATATAATTCGGGTAAACTTTCTAACACCTTCCAAGATTTTAAGATCAACCTTTGAAAGATTTAAAACAAATAGTTAAAAACCCAATTGCAATTATATTGAAATGAAACATTAACCTTTTAAGCTTTTAAACTTCTCAATCGTCAGGATTAGACGAAATATGAATAACGGATAAATAAACGGTTATAAAAAGTTTTCTATTGGACATTAAATGATACGAATGTAATATATTCAGTTTAATAAAACATGGATTTTTTTCTTACCAGGATAAAATAAAATAAAAAGATAAACTTCTCTCCGACATAACAATTCTCAAATTCGCTTAAATCCTCTTACTTGATGTAAATTACAAGTAAAGACAATTATAAGAAGCCTATCTACTTATCCAAATGAGAACACGTGACACCAATTTACAATTTGATAAAAGAGAATTAAGGAAACTGTCTCACAATTCCAATTTTATGTGTACCTTTTATTCATGAAAACGTCTATAAATTTTTTCACTGTATTCAGCCAACATACTATCATTAGTAAATTCTTGATTTTCCGAGTAGAATTAAATGCAAAATTTAAACATTGTAATTGTGCATTTATCTCAACTCAGTAAATTCAAAATTCACAACATGATAATACCTATAACTTCAAATTTAAGTTGAAGAGAACCTTCCTTTATTTATCGTGAAAATCATCACAGGTCATCAATTAATCGAAAATAATGGAATTCATCGCAGGATTTATTTGATAGAAAAGAAATTAGTTCTTATAATAAAACGAGTTGTATTAATAATTAATCGAGGTTAGAACTTGGCTCAAAAGTTTATTTGATAGAATTTATTAATATACTATAAAACTTCTTAAATGTGCAATAGGAGAAGGCAAGCATTATTTAATTCATTTTTATATAAATATCTTACTACGAAGTATGTTCGTTTTGAATTCTTTGTACATAATCATCAACCTTTCTTACATCCGTGTTTTCTTGTATCAATCATTGTTATCTAAAAAGAATTGTTGAGAAAATGATACTACGTTTCGTTTGTTCCTTTAGAACAATAACTCACATAAGATATAAGGGGGAGGTTCCATGCTGCGGCTACCCTTGCCTCCACACTGCAGCTATCCTCCAAACCAAAGAACGCTACCACACCCAGCTTCCACTGGTCTGTCAACAGTTTGACGGCGGTCAATGTGTCCCCTTTGGTGTCTCCCCATATCAGGTTCAGAAAGTGATTAGGAAGGACTTCCGGATTGGCGTTAACCCGCTCCAAAGCGTATGTAATAGCACCGGAAATAATCCTTCCTTGCCGATTCCGGATGAATTTGTCGGTTTTGTCAACCGTTAAATATCCAACAGTTATATTAGTCTTCTCACAAACATACAGACGAACCACGTTTGACAAGGAAATCACAAATACAAAAAAATCCACGTAGAACCGAATTTTCATTATTCAGAAGTGAAGTTAGAAATCCATTACTTTGATTTGGTTGAATCATGTTCCGACAAACAATATTCTGAGATGGTTTTCCTCTCTCCTTCAGGTATAAGCCCAAGTTCTCATTGGAAATATTGATTCAAAATTTCTCCCCCTGAAACAAAGTTAGACAAAACAAAAATTATGTAACTCATTATTTCTTAGTCAAAACGATAATGCTCTAATACTTCCTTTGAAGTTGTCTAACAATTGTATGACAAGGAAAATGTAATAACAGGTATGAATAGAAAAAAATGCAGTGAATTGAATAAGAATTGAATTTCCCCTTAATACCAAAACATTATCCACTACGCTCCCATTATATTTGACCCCTAATTCTCTTTAACACTCTCTCTTTCTCTTCTCCAGAAATAGATGGGAATTATTTTCTGGCTACTGACTCCGCTAATGTAATTAACAATCATCAGGTGTCAATGTCAATTACTCTCAGAACTAGTCCTCCTGATAGTGGCATAGCTCGTCAACATTCTAGGGAAATTCTAAAACGTTAAGCATAAAGTCTGGTCTCTATAAACTACAACATATCCGCAATATATGTACCTTAGCCTGACGCTGAAACATGGAAGTTTTACTCGGAGGGTTCGGAACTATTGGCAGAGAGCTGCGGTTACTCGTCACACGTAGAGTACAGTTTACAATGTACATATTGATTAACAATAAAAATAGCGTAGAAATTGACACAACTTCTGAGGAAAGAACATCAAAACTTTATAGTTTTTCCTCCTAAAAATAGATTATGTCAAGAACATGTCTGGATCCGTCTGTATAGAATTCTAAGGAATAAAAATTGATTTTATTACACCAGTAATTTAAAGGATGAAGAAGAATGGAAACGTATTTTTCGCAACAACTTTTTTTCGCTCTATTTTTACATATCATGATTCAGAATACGTATAGAATGGGTCCTTTCTTATATAAAAATAAACTTACGACAAACTGTCAGTTACAACTACAGAAAAATTGTATCACGATCTTACAAACACTTTAAAAAGTTAAGATAACATTAAAGGATATTCATATATGCACTAATCAATGAATGATTTTTTGGGGGAAAAAGAAAAACCTAAAATGCTAGCAAGTGTCTATGTCTAAAATTTGAATGTAATCCAAACGATTAGAAATAAAAAAAAAAATAATAAGGAATGTTTATGGAGGTTACCAGTGCTCTCCGAGTAATCTGTCCGAGACATTACAGACTGCATTGATCATTTGCTATGATTGTATTCAAAAACTATCGGCAATTATAGCAGTCGATTAAATGTCATAGAAGCGATTCAAGGATCTTCAGTTTCCGTTGAGTTAAAATATGGTGCTTTGAACTTAATTCCAGCGGATAATTAAAGGGATTTTTTTCATATAAGAAAAATCATTGACGTTCTTATACTTTAAATGTTTTTGTTTCTTTTCTTAGAGTTAAACATGACATTAAAAGAAATTTTATCAAATGATGCGGAACTTTCTATTGAAGAACACATACCTTAATTAAAGGGTGGAAGTCTGAAAGTATTAATCCTTTTCCAAAAAGTATAAATCCCTTGAAATTCAATAGAATTTTTATTACTTTGGCGCATTATTTTCTGGACTCTTGTGGTCGTAAATCTTTAAACATTTTAAGATTAGAGAGAAATCCGATATTTGAGAATGTGAGCTGCAGAGCAAGCCATCTTTATAGTTCAGTAGTTTGTACAACTGTTGAATGGGGCAATTCATTATTTCCGCGGTCTTATTCAATAACCATTGCACAGTTACACATTGTATCACGTTTTGAAGTCACTAGGAAACGGTGAAAATAATTTCAATAAATTAATTCAGATGCGTTAGTTTCTTTTCCAGTCACATTACAGGATTACAAGACATTTAGCATTAAAGCAAAGTCATGTAAACATTGATATGAATGTTAGGAATGCAGAGAGATATAACAATTTTCAAAACTAATGTTTGTAGCAATATGGATTGGAAATTTATTCCTAAGGTACAGCACAGTATGAAATCAATGTAGCTCAATAGATAAAGTTAACCCACTTCTGAAACTATGCCCTGAACGATCATCCTTTTCATAAAAACTGGGTTACTCTCTGAACACTGCCTAATGGCTTACCTTCAGAAAAATTAATGTACATTCTATCTGGAGAAAACTTACTTCCTGCGATGTTGGACCACCTATATGCTGGGGCATTTTGTTTTTATTTGCAATTTATCAATGGATAAACTATGAATAGCGTGTGAAAAGACTTAAACAAGTAAAAGACATCTTCAAATAGGTGGTCACACAAATGATGTGTTCTGTTACTAAAACAACTGGGCGATTATAAAAACAAAACATTATTTTGCACTTATTTTTGCACGACAAAATAACAGTGACAGACGTACACGTAGATACGTAGTAACATAGGTTATACTTTTATATTCTCAAATTCCTATATTTCTTGAGATATGACTGCAACGAGGGGGGGGGGGGGAGAGAATCGGTGCTGTATTGTACTGCCGTTAAAAATGCAAGAAAAAAAAACAAAAAAAAAAACATAAAAGCGTTGTTTTTGTAGTGAACATTTGCTGAATTACTCAGCTGTTGATTATGGCAAACCGTTTTACTATTTATTCTGAAAGCAGGATATCTCTTAAATTCTTTGAGATATCTTTAAATTTCAGGGAAAAAAATCTCACAATGTTGAAGGAGATATCTCCCTATAAATCTCTTGGCTAAAATAGATATCTTTATTTAAAAAATACTGATATGGTATGGATAGGGTATCTCCTGCATTTCGAATAAATAGTAAAACGGCTTGCCATAGTTAACCGTGTCTAGAAACTAAATCTCTAGAATACTACAAAGTGCTCAAAGACGTATCAATTCATGGGGTTTTATGATAAATTTCATTCTTTTCCAAAGTTTACAAAATTCGCTTCATTAACAATACAATATAATGACAAAGAAGACGACGTTTTTGTACAGAGACCAGCATATCACCTGCCGGTCTGCCTACAACACAAGCATCTTTTCTTTACATTGCCAGCGGTCACCGGGAATAGGCATGAGATTTATTGACTCAGAGGAGATGTTTCCGAACCTCCATTTACCCAAGTACCTAGGAATCGACCAGGGTCTGGTCTCAATCCACAGAAATCAGATTAAGGTACAAAAATACACCGCCCTAATCAAACTATCGACATTTAGTCATATATTATGCAGTGTAGTCGGTTGTATTTTAAAACAAGCAGTCCTTCATTCGAAATTAAAATAGCTCAGGAAAACGTAGATTTCGATATTGTCGAAACTTAAGCATTTTCATGTCTACTCGCATAGCAGAAAGTATTAAAAATGTTAGTATGTATAGTTTGGTTGGTTTACTGGACTTTCAAAAGCATTGACAAATCATTTCGAAGGACTTTGTGCAGGAATGGCAATTATCTACTCCAGTAACAAAATCTGAAGGGGAATATCTACAGTGTATAATCTAAGTTTGGACAATATTGCGTAAATTTCAATTCATTAGATATTTTCATTAAGTATGACTTTCAGTTATAAAGTCAGAAATTTAAAATAGTGCGAATTTAAAATTTCTATGGTTTAGAGAAAAATATGGTACATAAAGTTGAACTTTTGAACGAAAAAATCCGTTCTGGTAAGACTCCATTTAGTTTAAAATTTAAAATACTAGTAATTTATATTGACAATATCAATCAAATACATGTATATGAAAATACTCGTAGTAGTTTGGTAAGCTTGTTCCTATGAATTCTAAAATCAAAATTGATCAGATTTTCAGATCATATAACTTAAGTTTCAGACGTTTTCCAAAAAAAAAAAAAAAAAAAGAAAAGAAAAAAAGACACGGGTACTTATTTTTTCCTCATCATATTTTGTTGATTGTCATTTCCTCATTCAAAGTTTTATTATCCATGGGCACAGATACACATAGCCTTTTGCCAAAATGAATGGAATCAGCGAAATAGGACTAATAAATGAAAATATGTTCTGAGTCTACAATAGACTGAATAGCAAAAATAAGATAACATAACTTTATCGATCTGAATGCCCATCTATCGATCTGAATGTCTATCTATCGATCTGAATGTCTGTCTTTCGATCTGAATGTCTGTCTTTCGATCTGAATGGTCTCTCTATCGATCTGAATGTTCATTTGTCGATCTTAATGTCCATCTATCGGTCTGAACGACCACTTCGATTCATTTACCTTGTAGACAAAAATGATTTTTTTTTTTAAATTATAGAATAAATCATAACTTGAAACTGTCAAAGCGAATATTGAAACATACTAGAATATAAAGCTTGCATAAACAGCTATGCCACTTCAATTTATGATTCTACAAAGAGAAAGTCGTATCACTTACAGCTGGAAAATGCATGAACAAGGCACGCTCTTCTATCGATTGACACTTCACCATATCAATGAATTGGTTCAATTAATTGAATTATTTTGACAACTGAATTAGTTTTCAGTTGCATGTTACAAACTTCAAACTTGTACAACTGCGCAATGCGGATTATGGTTGATTTAAGATGCTTAGTCAGTGACAGCAAGGTTTCATAATTTAATGAATGTTATCCTATACCCAATATCATTTTTGCATATCTAAATTTCTGCATTTCTAGATACTTCAGTCAAAAGTGAAATACATGTAATCATGTGCATGTTTAAACATTTAAGAATTTTTCCTATTCTTAAAACATATGTGTTATTAAATCATTCAAATTTTAAGTTTGATCCTGCGATTAAACACGTGCACTGGTATTTTACTAAGTGCTTTATAATACAGAGGAGTTAAATCCGATTTTGTCCTGGTCGCCAATTTATCTGGCTGATTATTGTGTTATGATTGAAATGTAGATTTTAGGACCGTAATACATTCATTTTTAATTCCAAGTGGAAAATTTAAAAACTAGTGTCATTTCTAAACAAATTGTGTACTTTTAAACTACTGGTATATTTAATTAGCAATACTTATAGAATGTTATTATTTATTGTCAAATACATGTACGTAAATGCCTCATGAAATATTTCTGTGTAAAATATCAATAATTCTCCCTTTCGTGTTTATAATTTGTATTCTTATGTTTTGATGGTTTTAGTATTCTG